TTATTTTGATATATCACAGTGAAAGATTTATCGTCCTCTTTTTTTTTTTTTTTTTTTTTAAAAAAAAAAAAAAAAAAAAAAAAAAAAAAAAAAAAAAAAAACAAAAAAAGTGACAGGGAGCTCCCTAATGGGCCTCACAAGTCCTGTCCATGGCAGCCTTGGCTGGCTTGAGCTTTTCCCAAAAAACAAAACAGAAGCATTTCTAAAAAGAGGAAAAAGCTCTGAAGACTCGCCAAGGGACATGAGTGTGTGCCACCTCTATTTCCTGTATGAGATTTTTTTGTACTCTATTTTCCTAGCCATTGTTGCGTCCTTGTTTGCCGAGGGGTAGGAGTGACCCAGCGTCTCAGGGACCCATCCTCTGTCACGTTGTCATAGTGTGCCTTGTGTCCCGTCTCACCCCATTCACTGCCACCAGCATGTCCCTGTGGCTTACAGGACATACCAGGCCTGCCAGAGGTGCCCTCCTTCTCTTCGTCCCACAGGCAGTCCTTCCTAGCAACTGCAGCCTCCTGGGAGGGACAAGTACATGCCTGTATGGCTACTACAACTGTTTTCTCTATCCTGCAGGAGGGGCCACAACCTAGCCCTCAGTGGTGCCTCCCCAGTGGCTGTCAGGGCAGCTGTGCAGCCTGGGGACAGCAGGGCTGCTGGGCTGAGATCCTTGCTCTGGGCCTGAGGTAAGGGCCTAGGTATCAGCTATGAGAAGCTGATGCACGAAGTGCTCCTGGGGTGGTGCAGGCCCAGCCAGGAGGCTTCTGCTGGACATCAAGTCCTGGAAGACCATGTCTCTAGGGGCACCACACAGCAATACTTGGGTAGTGGCCATGGGCTGGCCCACAGCAGCACCTGTCACCTCCTCTGGTGCATTCATAAACGATTTCCAAACTGTGGGGAAAAACTCATGTTTATCTCCAGTCATGTCAACGGGCACCCTAGGGTGGGTGGCCTACTTAGGCATAATGGGGGTCCCTGGAAACAGCTCTGGCATAGAACCTGCCCCGTAGGGGACTCAGGATGACACATGGAGAGCAGGCCTAGGTGGGAGTCTGGACTAGCAAAGATATCCAAACATCTTGCTGACTGGTTCTGTCTGTATTTTCACCCCAACTGGGGATATCAGTGTCTGCCTGAGCATGTCTACTGGGCATTTGTTTTGAGCATACCCACCCTTGGAGCAGGACAGAGCTGTGTTTAAAAGCCTTGCTTCAGGGCCCCAGAACTCTAGGGCTCCCGATGCGCCATGAATTCTTATACCATCAGCTCACACTCCATCCCCAGCACCTGGGATTCTGCTTCCATCCCTGCCAGCAGAATCCACACCCCGGGTGACCAGAGTCGTCCTCTTGGCCGACCTTGGCAGCTCCGCTCTTTGCCTTCTCAGGCTGTGGTTCCCGTATGGACTGGGAGTTGGCCTCATCAGCCCACTAGCAGACCTGTGAGGGGTGGTCGGTCAGTAAGCATGGGGGTTGGTGCTAAGAGTTACATATCCATTCCTCCTCCTCCCTGCCATTTGCAGACTGGCCATTACTGGTGGCCGTAGGGACCCAGCAGGGTTATTGTGAGTCTTTCTGACCAGAAGAGCCACTGCTTATGTCCTCTACCTGAGCCCATTCATGTGGGCTATGTGGAATTCAGTAACAGAGTCCGGAACCCCAGACTCTGGTTTGAGTCCCTTACTGGGAGGTAGTCATGCATACCAGCCCTGCCATCCTGCTGTGGGCCTAGCTGGCCTAGCAGGAGGGGCTACAGAGGCTTTTGCATCCATGTAGGCCCTAGGCCTGCCTCTGCAGTCTTGTCCTGCAGGGTACTTGAGCTTGCCCTCCTAGGAGGATGGAGTTGTGCAATGAACTGGCCGGCCAGCCCCTACCTTCTGTGTTCCCCCAACCTTCCCTGCCTCTCTTGGGTCAGCTAGCCTACCACCCCTTGTGCCTGCACAAAAGGTCTTGACCCCAGGCCAGCAAGCAGGTTGTCCCAGGCCTCTAACTAGGGCACTAGGGCAGGTTCCGTGCCAGAGTCTGGGACTATACAAGGGGCCTGGTGCTGGCACAGTGGGTGAGTTATAAGACCTGAGCTGCAGAGTGGAATGGGGGCCCCATCCCCACAGGTGGGACTGTGCTGTGTCATTCTGTCATTGTAATATAAATACAGATTTTTATACCTCATCCTCTGGTTTCAAGTTCTTTACACTGCCTTGCTTTGGTCCTTTCCCTCCAGCATCAGCTAGATAGAGGGCCTGACTCACTGGATCCTGGGTCATTCTGGCCCTTGGGAATTAGCCTCATCTGTTCATAGTCTCCATTTACTGAGAAGCTGACCAGACCCTACCTATTAGCCATTCCATTCCTGTCCCCCACCTGTGGTTGAATGAAGGCAGGGGTCAAGGCACTGCACTACTCCCCATGACAGGTTTTCTTGTGGCTGGCCTTGAGGCTTCATCCTAGCCCTGGAGTTAGGGCACTGTGGGCCCAAGGACAGCTCAATCAATGGTGCTATGTCAGCCCAGTGCCTTCCACAGAGAGGCTGCTGGATCTCCAGGTTACACTTCAAGTACCCCCAACTAGGCCCATCCTCAGCATCCCCAGAATGACCCAGGTATGGGTCAGCCATCTCCCCTCAGGGCCTCCTGTGCAGAGACAGGTGTAGCTAGCTATGCTTGGATGCTGACATGGGGACTCAGGCTTAAGAACTGCCCTTACAGGAGCAGCTGTGAGGTTTTGAGAACGTATGCAGGAGAGGAGGACAGGACAGTGCCCCTGGCACTCCACTGCCTATAGGGAGGTGACAGCTCATTGGAATCTTGCTGGCCCTGGTTCTGTGAGGACCCAGCTGCCCTACTGAGAGAAGCATATCTGGGCTTGCTTTGCAAGGACATGTCACATTGACTACTGCTACTGCAGAGGGGATGGATGGAGATTTCCAGAGGGCATGGTGTCACTACATTAGATCTATGGAAGAGTCCACTGGAGATGCTGGCAAGTTTTGGGGTGGAGCCTGAAATTCCTGTTTCTAGGAGGCCACAGTGAGCTTTAGGTTTGAGAATCCAGCCTCCCCTCATGCCAGACCACATCTTGCTGGCTGATGGCCCCTGGGACTCTGCCAGCTCCTTTGCCCATCCCCACTCCCGAGTTGCCCCGTGCCAGCTTTGTCCAGACCTTTTGTCACTTGTTTTACTGCAGAATCAAGGCTGTCATTCCTCTGCTTAAAAACAGCACCTTTCCACACCATGGAGAACAGATCCCTTTACTTCCATTAAGCTGCATCTGAAAAGAATCTTTTAACAGCACAGTTGGGTACAGTGTTTAAAAATAAACCATAAAAATACTGTCTAAAATGTAAGCTATTTTTTAATACTGATGACTAGAGCAGAGAATCTTTTGCTAGGAGTGGAAGAGGCAAACAGCTGAAGCTTACTCATGGCTGTGCTTTAGGTGTGTTTGGTCCATTACATTGCAAGGCTTGCAGCAAGGATCAGCGCCTGGGTTCCCTTTTCCTTTTGACCCTGCTAAAACCCCAACTGATTCTTATTAGAAGAAACCAAGTTTGTCTTGGAAATAAACTTAACATACTTGCTTTTTAAAAATTCCAGTTCATGCTGGGCGTGGTGATGCACGCCTGTATTACCAGCACTTGGGAGGCAGAAGAAGGCGGATCTCTGTGAGTTCAAGGCCAGAATGGTCTACATAGTGTTTCAGGACAGCTGGGGCTACAGGGAGACCCTGCTTCAAAAAGACAAAAGAAAAAAAAAAAAAAAAAAAAAGAAAAAAAAAACCAGCAGGACAGCTGGGGCTACAGGGAGACCCTGCTTCAAAAAAAAAAAAAAAAAAAAAAAAAAAAAAAAAGAAAAAAAAATCCAGTTCATTCCCTACAAAACTTTCCAGGTCTGTATAATTAACCCCACTGCCTTTTGTACTCTGGGTACTGATACTGCTGTAATCATTACATTTTTATGGCTTCTTATGGCCTCATGAACACTTTTCAAACAATAACTGTGGTCAGCAACTCAAAATGAAGAGTTGGGGGCCAGGAAGCCACCTGGAGTCGCTAAGAAGTGGATTTCCTGGAAGATCTCTAGGCTTCCAGGTTGTACTTCCTGCCCCTGGGGACCTCTTCCTGCAAAGTGGCCTCTTTCTGGCATCTTTAATTCTGTCTCCTCTGAGTTCTTCCTCACAGTCTATAACTATCCCCAAGTCCCTACAGTTTGAAAACAAAACTCCAAATGCTCTCTCTGGCCCTGCATCCCACTCCTCATCTTGTGTCACTTGGGCTCTCTTCCTCCCAGGCTTTGCTTCCTCTGCAAAACTTCCCAAAGGGCACCGCCTGCTGCTCCTCTGGCCAGACCTACTCAACACCAGATCCCTGCTGAGCCCCTACTTCCATTTGGCACCCAGGGTCCTCCCGAGCCAGCCACTTCATTTTCCTGACGCCAGGCTGGGGCACCATTCTATGAATTTTTCCACCGTACTGCTTGTTTTCCAGATTTTAGGTTTTATTGACTTTTAAAAAGGAAGATAAAACGTTAAGCAAGAATTCATCATAAATGTCTTCAGCTCAAATTGAACTTAAATGAGCTGCTTAGGAACATTATTTTTTTCTCCTTAAAAACATGGTGATGCACATCTGTGATCCCAGCACTTGGGGAGGCTAAGGTAGGAGGATCTTGAGTTCAAGGCCAGCCTGGGGTACACAGCAAGTCCTTGTCTCAAAAAAACAAATAAGAAAAAGAGATGATCCAGAAAGAATTCTAACGGCTAGACTAGAACCTTGTCTGATAAGCCATGTCTCTGTCCCTGGAGGAGGGCAGTGCTACTGATTTAATGACCATCGCCCACACCTTGCAAATTCATGTTAACTTACAGATTTGCTAAACTGTCTGGTAGAAATGCAAATTCTGTCCCCTACAAACACACTGTAACCACTACCAACTGTAGCTCCAAAGGTCAGTTTTCCAGGACCACAGACGGTCACTCAGGCTTACACCAGATTTAGCAGCCTGATTTCAGCATTCTTCTTCGACTGCCTGTGTCCGTCCTGGCACTCTCCTTGAAGTCTCTGTCCTGAGTCAAATCAACTCACACAACACTCCAAGCTCATGTGCTTGGCCTGTTAGCACTTTGGGACTGTAGAGGAAGTCGGTGTAGACGGGGGACTTAAGGGCTTCTGCTGTTACCACTGTGAAAGGTCCCGCAGGCACCATCCCAGCCAGCTGCCCCAGGAGGAAGGCCCGCGCCGCACCGAGGTGCACCTGCCTGCGGGCGAGAACCCCAGGACTACGAGCACGCGGGGACACGCAGAAGGGGAGACACCCGCTGCGGGCGGAAATTCCGGTCGGCCTCGGGCTTTCTGCCCCTAGCGAAGGTTCAGCACCCTGCCCGGGGCAGGTAGCCCATAAGATCCAGCCCTGGGCCTGGGAACGCCTGGCAGGACCCGAGGCCGAGCCAAGGACGGGGCGGAGCCAGAGCGGATTGATGGAAGACAGCCAATCATCTTGCGTCTTCCGGGAACGCCAGGCCGGCTGGGGACAGAGTTAGGAGTCGCCCACTGGCCAATCATCTGGCTCCTGGCGCCGGCCGGGCGCGGGGCCGTAGGCGCTCCTCCGCGCTTCAGCCCTCCTCCGCAATACTACGCACGCGCAAAACGCGTACTGCGCAAGCGCAAAAAAGTGAGGCGAGGAAGTCTGCGCCTGCGCGACTCGACTTTCCCGTGAGGCAGTGCGGGACGTGTTGTGGGCGGTTGCTGAGAGGGTGCGGGCGGGAGCTTCCTCAGGTGAGGTGCTCGAGCTCCCGGCTGGGCTTGGGACTGGCGGAGCGGCTGCGCGTGGTCGCAGAGCGGGCAGGGGAGGCCGGGGTCGAGCGAGGGAGGCCGAGGACGGCGAGGGACGCCAGGTCGCCGGGCTGCTGAAAGGGCCTGTCCGGGCCCGGCTGGCGCTCTGCTGAGCCACACCCATAACTTCCGGGTGGTTACGGACTGCGGGTGTTTTACCACGGTCCCTAAGTGTCACACGTCATTGCGTCCTCCCTAACCACAGCTCTGAGTCTGACTCTCGGTGGTCGCAAGGTGCTGAACAGCGGGCCTGCTGCCTCCGCTTTCACCGGTCTTTGGCCAGTGGTCAGGTTCGCGCGTGGAGAGTGATACGTGCTGGAAACTCGGTACCTGGGTGCTTATGGCTTGTCCTGGTGTTCTCCGTGTTAGGCTGATTGCATCTGCAGGTTGAGGCTTGGGACCCAGATGAACGCTTGGCGCGGCTCAATGTTTTAAGTTGATTCTTCACAAAGATTGGATTTTATTTCTATGTCCTAACTTAGGAAACAGCTGTTATTACACAGAATGTAGTGTCTTAAAATCATTTTGTCTTGGGAGAAAGATTTCTAATGTTTTATATATATATGTAATTTTAATTCTATTTTTATTTTATGTGTCTGAGTACATTGCCTGCATGTGTGTAAGTGCACCCGTGTCGTGCAGTGCCTGAGGAGGGGCTTTAGATTCCCTGGAACTGGAGTTAAGGATGGTTGCCAGCCGCCATGTGGGTGCTGGGAACTGAACCCAGGTCCTCTGCAAGAGCGGAGGGTGCTCTTAACTGCTGAGCCATCGCTCCAGCCCCTAATGTTAGATTTTTTCATTACTATTGCAGCTCCATAAGGAGCACTCTTAATTGCTTTTATTTTAATCTGACTTCATCGGAGGTTTCACATGCACTTACCTAAATTTTACCTACTAGCTCCCAGATAGCATCTGATAAAATTATCCATATATTTCAAAATATATTCGCCTTAACTTGTGGTCTAATACTTGTTTTCTTACCCCCCTAGGAGGAATCATAGGTTTTGTTTTGTTTTTTTCTTTTTCTGTGAACCTAATGTAAAACTTTGTTTTGTTTCTGTTTGGAGTCTCTAAAGATTTAGTCACTCAAAATCTTCACCGTAGACCCATATCAGATCTGAAAAACGGGTAGTTAAACCATGAGTTGTGGAAATGAGTTTGTGGAAACATTAAAAAAAATTGGTTATCCCAAAGCTGATGTTCTCAATGGAGAAGATTTTGATTGGCTGTTTGAGACTGCTGAAGACGAATCCTTTTTGAAATGGTTTTGTGGAAATGTGAATGAGCAGAATGTGTTGTCTGACAAAGAATTGGAAGCTTTTAGCATTCTTCAGAGATCTGGCAAGCCCATCCTAGAAGGGCCAGCCTTGGATGAAGTTCTTAAAACCTGTAAAACTTTGGACTTGAACACACTCAGACTGGATGACAAAGAACTACAGAAATTAGAGGATGAAGCTCAGATTCTCCAGGGATTGAAGAACTTAAAAATTCAGCAACGGAACAGATACCAGCTGATGGCTTCCGTAACCAGCCACAAATCTCTGAGGTTAAATGCTAAACAAGAAGACGCCGCCAAGAAGCTAAAACAAAGCCAAGGGATCCTAAATGCCATGAATACGAAGCTCAGTAATGACCTTCAGGCTCTTACTGATGGAGTTAATAATTTGATGATATTCTTCAGAAATTCTGATTTAGGTCAAGGGACAAATCCAATGGTGTTTTTATCTCAGTTTTCCTTGGGAAAATATATAAGCCAAGAAGAGCAAAGCACAGCAGCTTTGACCTTATATACCAAAAAGCAGTTCTTTCAGGGCATACATGAAATCGTTGAGAGTTCAAATGAAGAAAATTTTCGACTTTTGGATTTCCAAACACCATCTCTCTGTGCCGATGAAGAAATCCTTGAGGAGAGACAGCTGGAGATGGCTAGGCTGCAGCTGGCGTATATCTGCGCACAGCAGCAGCTAGTGTACCTGAGAGCAGGGAATCAGAGTATGAAGTCAAGCATCACATGGGCAGAGAAGAATCTTCATAGCCTGAGCAGCAAGGTAAACCTGGGACCTGAGATTGAATCATAGTGAATGGGTGTTAGAAATGTAGGGAGCAGTGTTGCTACTGAAGTACTTTGACAGGGGTCTGATGACAGCTTTTAGTTTTATCTTTGTTCACTTCTCATTTGGGGTATTTGTTTCATACGAATATTTTAATCATATTAGTGGAGAGCAGAACTTAGTAGTTATCATCCCAACCATACTACTTAATTTATTCTAAACAAATAGGCTTTAATTTGCTTTACGAATTTGAAATTTGCATTATTTCAAATACTAAGCTGGGATTTTCTATGACATATGTATGCCAAGGAGATTTGCTTATGAGTATTGCCTTGTTCCCCTCTCCAGGACCTGGTGTTAATGAAGTTAAAGGTTCAGGGTTAAGTGGACTGAATTCTTTCCTTCTGAGAATGTGTAGATGTACTGCAGTTGTTCATCTGCACTCTTGGGGAGTCTGTTTTCTTGATAATGGAACCACTAGGCAGCTGAGGGAAAGTGCAGAATTTCTTAATCATGATATCTGCATTAAATTCTGGAATAACAAAGGAAGCCTGGGAGTTCTGTGTGCCACTGTCAACTGATGGATTAAGAGAATGCCTCCTGAGATATTTTAAGAACAATCAAGTATCATTGATTTGCTGCCAGTGAACAATATGCTAATGTTATGATGGAGTAAAATAATCGGAAAGAGCTCTTATTTCGCTGGCTTTCACAGTACACCTGTGTGGCAGTAAAGGCACTGAAGTTCAGTGATTCCTGCTGCTTTCCTTGTGTCTTAGTTCATATTTTCTCTTTTAAAACTAGTTTTTTTAATGCTAATATGAAGCTAATTTTTATTCATTGACTCATTCTGAACACCTAAAATAAAAAGTAAAAATGAGTGGCCGGGTGTGGTGGCCCATGCCTTTAATCCCAGCACTTAGGAGGCAGAGGCAGGCAGATCTCTGTGAGTTCAAGACCAGCCTGGTCTACATAGTGAGTTCCAGGACAGCTGGGGCTACAGGGAGTCTGTCTCAAAAAGACAAAAAAAAAAAGTAAAAATGAAAATAATGTAATTGCTTCTCTTTGTGTAGGCTGTTGGTAAAGAAAATCTGGATGCTAAAATTTCTAGCTTGAACAGTGAGATTGTGAAACTTGAAGAGGAAATCACTCATATAAAAGACAAAAGTTTGCCTGCTGTGGTAAAAGAGAATGCCCAGTTACTTAATATGCCTGTCGTTAAGGGAGATTTTGATCTGCAGATTGCTAAACAAGATTATTACACATCAAGACAAGAGTTAGTTTTAGATCAGTTAATAAAGCAGAAGGCATCATTTGAACTTGTACAGTTGGCATATGAAATTGAATTGAGAAAGCATTGGGACATATATCGGCAACTGGAAAATTTGGTTCAACAACTTAGTCAAAGAAACACGATGCTCTGCCAGGGATTAGAAATGTTGACAGATCCATCAGTGTCTGAAGAGTTAAACTCAAGAAACCCCATTGATAACAAAGATGAGTCTACTCATAGGTATGTATATTTCCTATCCTTAACATACATATATATATATATATCATATATATATATATATATACACACTTTTTTTTTTTTTGTCTTTTTGAGACGGCCTCCCTGTAGCCCCAGGTGTCCTGGAACTCGCTATGTAGACCAGGCTGGCCTTGAACTCACAGAGCTCTGCTTGCCTCTGCCTTCCAAGTTCTGGGACTACAGGCGTGCGCCACCACACCCGGCAGCCTTAATATATTTTTTTGATTTATTTGAAATACTAGATAGTTTTAACTGAAGTGTGTTTAAAAAAATTATTTGTACTCTAGATTTGGCTTTTCCATTCTTTTTTGCTTTGCTTTATCTTCTAAATTTTTTACCCCTTTCTGTTCATGTTAGATTCGAATGTAGCCATTTTAGAGGTTAAGTCGATGAGTTGGAGGAATGAATTGTTAAATTTTTTTTTTTTTAATTAAAAAAAAAATTTTATGTGTGAGTGTATTGCTTGCATGCATGTTAAGTGCACCCATGTTGTGCAATACTCTGCAGAGGTCAGAAGAGGGCATTGGATCTCCTGGAACTGGAGTTGCAGATGGTTGTTAGCTGCCATATGGGTGACCAAACCCAGGTCCTTTGTGAGAGCAACCAGTGCTCTTAACTGCTGAGCCGTCTCTCTAGCCCGTATTTACTTATTTTTAAATATATGCATGTGTGTGTGGGGGTGGGGTAAGTGCCACACATGCGTGTGGTTGCTGTGAATTGAACTTGAGTCCTTTGAAAGAGCAGATGCTCTTAATTGCTGAGCCATCTCTTCAGCCCAAATTGATAAAAAGATTTTACTCCCCTTTAGACATAGTTATTTAGATACTTAATTTTAGATTTGGGACAAGAAATCTGAATACAGCTTGGTATCATTGGTGTTGCTGGGAGTGAGAATGATTTCATTTAGGGAGATGGTAGTAGAGGGAGAAGACTTAATTTCCCTATCCGATCCGGTAGAGCACTAAAAGTGAACGCTGACTCCAAAGCCCTTCCTGAATATCTAAGCAATTGTTGGTGCCAAGATAGTGAGATTAGAAGACTGAAGTAGTAGACTTAAAATCTCTATCCTGCCAGGGGTGGTGGCTCATGTCTATCCCAGCACATGGAAGGTTGAGGCAAGAAGATTGTGAGTTTAGGGCCAGCTTGGGCTACATAGCAAGACTATCTAATAAACAAACACCTGTATCCTAAGTCCTGTGTGGTGAAGGGATTACACTTGCTATTCTAGCATTCAGAAACCTGGGACAGAAGATTCTTAAATTTGAGGGTAGCTTGGGCTGCATAGTAAGAATTTCAGGACTGGGGGTGGAGAGAGATTGCTCAGTGGTTAAGAGCACTGGCTGCTCTTGTGGAGCACAGGGTTCGGTTCCTAGCATCCACCTGATGGCTAACAAGTGTCTAACTTTAGCTGGGAGAGGGAAGGATCTGATGACCTCTTTTGGTCTCTGTGGGCATTCATTTCACACACACACACACACACACACACACACTTGCAGGCAAAATACTCATGCATATAAAAATAAATGAAATATAGCAAACATTTTCTAAAAGAGAATTTCAGAACAGCCTGAGCTACAAAATAAGACCTTTAGTAAAAAAAAAAAAAAAAAATCTTTTTGGCAGAGAGAAGAGGCTAGGGAGATCGCTCTGGCAGTAAAGTGTTTGCTACACAAGCTTGAGGACATGAAGAATTTTATCTCCAGAAACTATGTAAGAAGCCAGGTGCAGGGGCTGGAGAGATGGCTCAGCTGTTAAGAACACTGGTTGTTCTTGCAGAAGACCCAGGTTCGAATCCCAGCACCCATGTGGCAGTTAACAACTGTCCTAACTCCAGTTCCAGGGGATCTGACAGCCTCTTCTGTCCTCTGCCAGCATTGCACAACACAGGTGCACTTACCTACATGCAGGCAATACACACTTACACATAAAAAAAAAGCCAGGTGCTGTGGTAAGCCTCTCTAATCCACATACTGGAGAGGTAGATGCAGAGCCCTTGGGCTTGCTGGACACAGGTCTCACTGAATAGATGAGCTCCAGGTTCCTGAAAGACCTTGCTTCAAAAAGTCAGGTGGAGAGTGATTGAAGACCTCCAGCATTGACCTCTGGCCTCCACATGCACATATCCTACTCCTGACTTTTCCTCATGATTAGAATAAAATACTCTTAAATCTTTTTGTTTCTTGTTAGTAAAATGAGTGACTTGGATAGAGTTGCCTTGTATAATTTTAGGGATTGCCATCAATATGATCTATGTGACATTGGGTAATTGTGTAGTTATATCCCACACTAATTAGCAGATTTGATCTTCAACCAGTTTTATAGTCTGTTAAAGTTTGTGTGTGTATGTTATACCTCTGTGTATCATAAGAAAAGGAGTGTGTCTTTTTATGAGACACATACAACAAGTTGTTTGAAATTTTTTTTTTTTTTTTGGTCCTATAGACTGATGGATTTTTTTTCTGCCATTGATTGAAATGTTACAATGGTCTCCTGAATCAAGATTTTTACCAACCAAATACTGATAAGATTAAAGTAGCAAGTTGTTATTATGGCCATTTATGTAGCTCTTTATTATTTATATGTTATAATATTTACATTAAAAAATTTTTTCTCTCAATCTCACCATAATCCTATGAAGTAGATTGGTGTTAGAGATTGGTTTGCCATGGGTCACTGCTGCTACTTCATCGGAGGTATGTTCTGTGAAGGAAGTGTTTTCATGGAAGTTATCACTAGAACTCCATTTGAAGTAGGCTAATGGCAGTTAAAAGTCAGGATGAAGATTATAACTGAAATATGGAAGATGAAGAAACTGGAAATTCAGATATTTCTTTTAAGGAATAATTTATCTTATTTTTTTGAGGCAGTGTCTTACTGGCCTTGAACTTGCTGTGTAGCCAAGATGAGCCTTGAGCTTGTGATCCACCTACTTCAGCCTCCTGAGTGCTGGGATGACAGAGTTGTATCACATGCCCAAAATCAAGTATCTCTTCTGAATTAGTATTATAGTTGAGAGGTTTCAGTTGCTTGATGTTAGAAGCAGTAATACATTTTAGCTGTTCCTTACTCCAATATAGTGGATTATAATTTTGAAAACTACTAACTAGAACATTTTCCCTATCATTTTAATTTTCATATTCTAGGCTTTATCAACTTTTAGAAGGAGACGATAAGAAAAAAGAATTATTTATAACCTATGGAAACCTGGAGGAAGTGGCTGAGAAATTGAAAAAAGATGTTTCTCAAGTACAAGATCAGTTGGCAGTATCTACTCAAGAGCATTTTTTCTTTCTGTCCAAACTGAATGCTGATGTGGACATGCTTTGTGATGTTTTATATCAAGGAGGGAATCAGCTTTTGCTTAGTGATCAGGTGAGTGTTTTTATAGAAATTTAAAATACTTTGAAGAATAATATTCATTATAAGAGAAATAAATTATTAACATGAAGAAAATATCACCCTGTCCCATTACACTAATACAAAATTCATTTATTTATTTAGAGGAGCAGAGTTTTGCCATGTAGCCCATGCTGGGCTCCAATTTGAAATCTCCCTACTGGGATTAATAGGCATGCCACCATGCTCAACTTCATGATTTTTTTTGGCACCTCTTAATTTTTATTCATGTATAAATACATTTATCAGATAATTTTCAAACATTTTTATGTATATGAGTGTTTTGCCTGCGTGCATGTAGGCATACCATATGTGTACAACACCTTTAGAGGTGAGAAGAGGACATTGGATCCCCTGACACTGGAGTGATCAGACAGTTGTTAGCTGTCATGTGGGTGCTGGGAACTGAACCCAGTTCCTCTGCAAGAGCAGCCAATGCTTTTAACTGCTGATCCATCTCTCCAGGCCCTTACCAGATAATTTTGATTGTACCCATATGGGGATTAACAGCTGTTGGCAACTCAAGTTTCAGGGGATCTGACACCCTCTTTGACCTACACAGGCATTGGATGCGCATGGTACACTTACATACATGCATATAAAACACTCATACAAATCTGCTGAGTGTGGTGGCGCATGCCTTTAATCCCCGCATCAGAGAATCAGAGGCAGGTAGATCACTGTGAGTTCCAGGCTAGCTGGGGCTACACGGAAACCCTGTCTCAAAAACGACAAAAAACATTTTTTAAGTTTATAAATGTTCAGCCACCATAAAGATATGTAATATTGATGTGTGTTAGGGAAACAAAAATGTGTGTGTGTGTGTGTGTATCTCTTATAGCCTTTTTTGTTTCTTTTTTTTTTTTTCGGTCTTTTTGAGACAGGGTCTCCCTGTAGCCCCAGCTGTCCTGGAACTCACTGTGTAGATCAGGCTGGCCTTGAACTCACAGAGATCCGCCTGCCTCTGCCTCCCGAGTGCAGATTAAAGACGTGCACCACTCCCGGCTATCCCTTATCCTCTGTGTCCACTTACTGATACATGCTTTTTCTAATGGAATTCCCCTGCCTTTGGGGAGTAACTACTTGGAGGAGTTTTATTATGTAAATGCATTCCTAGACTATATATTTACTTTTGTGTTTTTGAACTTCCAAATGCATGGAATTGGAATTGATTGCTCAATAACTGAACTTAGTAGTTGATCGCTGCAGCTGGTAATCAAACCCAGGGCATGTATAAGTACATGCTAGGCAAGCATTTCACTGAACTACAGCTCCAGCACTTTTTTGGACAGGTCTTCAGGGTGTCCTTGAACACACTGAAGCTTAGGCTGCCCTAAACGTGTGCTCCTCCTGCCTTCACATGTAGGCTGTAGTTCATAGTTTTCTCTTTTATGTAATTACTATTCCTTTATGTCAACTTTTACCATTACCCATTCTGTGGACAGATGTTAAGATAATTTCTAGTTCTAGCTGTGGGTAGTCTTTATGTTAGTTGCCTATGCATGCTTTTGCGCAGACCAGATACCTGTCAGAAACAGCGTAGAAGATTTATTTTGGTTCACAGTTTCAGAAGGTTTAATCCACAGTTATTTGGCCCTCTGTGCTTAGGCACATCCATGAATGGAGAAGAGGTTCTCATCTTATGGAGGACAGAAAACAGGGAGAGAGGGAGGGAGAAAAAGGCCAGGGACCCCTCACAGTGCAGCCCTGGCTAGCCTGAAACTCACTGTAAACCAGGCAGCCTTGAACTCACAGAGGTCCACCTGGCTCTGCTTTCTGAGTGCTTGGAATTACGTGTGCACCATCATGCCTGGCCTCCTAAATCCTGCCTCTTAAAGTGTCCAGAACCTCCCCCAAATAATGCCACTAGAAGGGAACCAGAGGGCTAAACATGAGCCTGTATGGAAATTTCCTATTTAAGTCATCACAGTCTTGCATGTCTTAGTCACATATTTGCAAGAGTCTCTAGCACACACACAGAGGCGCCAGGGAGTGGCACGTATGCAGTTTCAGAGGTATAGGTTGGATATTTCTTATCTGAAATGCTCGAGTCTAGTAGTGTTCCAAGTTGAAATTGTAGCTTCTTTGGATGTTTGTATAGAGAGCTTACTGGTTAGGCATCCCTAACCTGAAAATCTGAACTGAAACTTTTCATTTATTTCTTGTTGCTTTCTCTGTTATAGAACCAAAAGTTCTTGAGTTCAGATATTATGCTAGAAAAGGTTTTTCATTTGTCGTGTTAGGGATGCCGAGCCTATATAGCTGATTGTGTTCTAAAATAGTCACACTGTGTTGCACTGACAGAGATACTACTTATTTGGATCCTTTCATCGAGTATATTGTCTGAGTCACAGGTTTCTGCCAGTCCTCGGTAGAAAATGGTGGCTTGTTTGGATTGTAATTTTTATTTCTCCAGTTATTAGGAAAGTGGAACCCCCCAATTTACTCATTATTTACCTCTTTCTGAGAATTGTTTGCTCATTTTTTTAGATTCTTAAAATTATTTGTACTTTTTATATTTCAGTGCCAATCTAGTACTAATTTACCTGTGAAATATATTTGTGACTTGCTTTTTCAAAAGTTTTTCACTTTTTCTAATATTCTATGTCATTCGTTGTTCTTCTTTGGTCTTTTAATACCTTATTTTCTTAGAGTTTGTGTTACCATCATGACACGTTCCTTTTATTCATAAAGCTGCTTGTTCACTTTTCATTCTCTAATTCAGCATAAATGTATTTTTATATATGAGTTCTCATTTAAATATTTTTTACTTTAAATTAATATTTTTACTCCCCGCCCTATGAATGGCCAGATTTTTTTTAAATTTAGTTTTTCTTATTATTTTTATGAGTACATCGCCTACATGTACGTAGGTACGCCCGTGTTGTTCAGTGCCTGCGGAGGTCAGAAGAGGCTGTCAGATCCCCCAGAGCTGGAGTTAACAGGTGGTTGTTAGCTGCCATGTGGGTGCTGGAAACCAAATCCAGATCCTCTGTAAGAGCAACCAGTGCTCTTAACCTCTGAACCATCTCTCCAGCCCCCAGATTGTTTTATTTCCCTTAATAAGTAAAATTACCAATTTAAGGTTTTGTTACCAATTTAAAATGTCATATCAATTTTAAGTTATGGTGTTGTTTTTGGTCTTTTTTGAGACAGGGTCTCCCTGTAGCCCCAGCTGTCCTGGAACTCACTATGTAGACCAGGCTGGCCTTGAACTCACAGAGATCCGCCTGCCTCTGCCTCCCGAGTGCTGGGATTAAAGGCGTGCGCCACCACGCCCGGCCTTATTTTGGTCATTTTTAAGTGTATACTTCTGCATTATTCACTTTGTTATGTAACTATGACAACTATGTATTTTAAGAACTTTGTTGTCCCAACTAGAAGCTTTGTATTATTCACCAGTAGCTCCCTCTTTCCTCCTCCAGCCACAGCCCTGGGCAGCCACCATTCTGCTCTTGTCTTTGCACTTGCCTGCGCAGGTTCTTCCAGTTAGTGACATTATGTCGTGTTTTCCATATTGTGCTTGACTTATCTTAGTATGTTGTAGCATGTGTGAGAGTTGCTTTTTTGTGGTTGAGCGGTACTCCTTGTGTCTGTACCATGCGTCCTTCCCTCATCTGTTGGTGGCCTTTTCACTGTTGTGGAAGTACTGCTACAAACGTGTGTGCAGGGATCTGCTGGAATCTACTGTCATTCATTTTGGATGTGTCCTCAAGAGTGGCAGTGCTGCTCATGGTAGTTCTGTGTTGAACTTTGTTAGGAGCGGCCAGTTTTCTACAGCAGATGTACTGTGTAAATTTCCACCAGTGATGTATTAGGATTCCAATTTCTCCATGTCATCACCAGCACTCAATTTGTATTTTTTTAAGACATTTTATTATTTTTATTTTATGTGTATGCGTATATTGCCTGCATGTAGGTAAGTGCACCCGTGTTGTGCAATGCCCGCGGAGGTCAGAAGAGGCTGTTGGATCCCCTGGAACTGGAGTGTGGGTGCTGGGATTCGAATCAGGTCTTCTGCAAGAACAGTCAGTGTTCTTAACCGCTGAGCCATCTCTCCAGCCCTCAGTTTTTGTTTTTTTTTTTAATAGTTGCCCCCCAATGGATGTGAAGTAGTATATCTAATTATGTTTTTTAGATTTCCCAATACAGATTTAACTTCTTTACCCATTAGAGAAAGAATTGCTGAAAGTCTCCATAATGGTCCATTTGATGTTTTTGGTGTGTAGTTGTGTCAGTCTTCTCTATGTATTTCAGACTATTTTATAATAGGGTAAAATTTTGGTGACTAATTATCCTAGTGGACTTAAATTACTAAGAATCAAGTATCTGTTGATCACCCTCACCATTCCTGTAATGCTTTTGTCTTGATTGTATTTGGCTTGATACTAATATTCCCATGCTACCTTTCTTTGGATTTTCTTTTGTTTGCTCTTCCCTGGTGTCCTGTATATCTTTGTATATATGACACTATATATCAGTGTTTGGCTGTTAGATACTTTGGTTTGGATTAACTGTTGGAAGTAGGATCACTGGAGGGTGTTTGAAGTAGACACCCTTTTTTTCCTTGCCTCTGATATTACTGTATTCCTTTCCTAAGGTGTTGTACTCATTTATCATGTCACTAGTGCTACTGTCTAGTGTCCACTACACATCCCAGTATGTCATCATTTTGTTAATTGCTAAGAAAGAAAAAGTCCTCCAGTTAACATGATGCTTTTCCTTACTAATAATTTTTATTTTTGTACTTACCAGAAGGGATCTTTTAGATGTAGGTAGTCATTGATTCATACTACACTTGTTCTTTTTAAAATTACACTTATTTGTGTCTGTATGTGGGTGTGCGTGTTCCATGGTGCATGAGTGGAGATGAGAAGATAGCTTGCAGGAGTTGGTGCTCCGGTTCTACCCTGCGGACCCCAGGGCTTGAACTGTGCCTTTACACACTGGCCCCTCATCATAATGCTCTTGAGCGTACATTAAAAGAATAAAATAACCCAATTAAAATGGTTGGGTATTTCTAAAACTTCGCATTCAATTTCAAATTCCTTTGAATTATTTTTTGACTCATAGTTGACTGTCTTTTTCTACAGTATACATAAAGAAAACAAAAAACCCAGATCTCCCTGTGTAGCCCCACCTTGCTTCAGGCTTGTGGCGCTCTCTCCTCTTTCCTCCCAAGTGCTGGGAGTACAGGTGTGAGCCACCACTCCCACCCACCTGCCCGGCTGACGAAGTGTTTAAGAGTGCCTGGAGTGCCTGGCCATCAGCTGCCATGTGGTGGTTTCTAGAAGATGCATCTTCTTTAGATAGGGTCTGAAAAAAAGAGCACGAAACAAAAAAAGGATCTGAAAAACATGCATCATGTAGAATCCCTAAAATGTGGTAATTTTACTATGATCTTGACATTTGGTATCATTACTGTTTTTCTCCAGCTCATTATGGTGTAAAAAGCCACGTCAGTTTATTAATGAAGCTGAACATTTACAGTATCTGTAGAGATATTTATTTTATCACCATGAGAGGTTTAGGATTTAATTAAAATTAAAAATGAAATTCTCAGTGTATTCATGGTTACTAATTTTTTTTTTTTTTGAGATCATTAGAAGTAAATAATGTCAAAATTACTTTTTGTTTGTTTGTTTGCTGTGTAGCCCTGGCTGGCCTGGAACTCAGAGATCCACCTCCTAGGAACAAAGGCATGTGCAGCCATGGCTGGCTTCTGGGGTTTTTGTTTGTTTTGTTTTGTTGTTTTTGATTACTTGTTTTTACTGTACTGATCTGTAAAACTGGCATTTATGACAGGTCTTAAAACAGTGATTCTTGAACTTGTATATTGGAATCACCAGGGAACCTATTGAAATATGGATTCCTGACTCTGTCACAAAGAGTGAGTAATTTAGTTAGGAGTGAGGCATAGGAATTTGTATGTTTGTATCAAGCACTAGAAGTGAGTTATGCCACACCTAGAAGCTGCGGAATGTTGGAGGAGGTTAGAGCTACAGGTTTTCTGAGAATCTCTGGTGGTGCTGGTTAAACAATTGAAGAGTAGAATGCTTGGTCAGAAACAGCCAGACATGGTAGCATGCCCTTTATCCCAGCACTCAGGAGGTAGAGACAAGAGGCTCTCTTAAGATGGAGGCCAGCCTGATCTATATGGCAAGTTCAGGCCAGCTGGGGCTATAGAAAGACCCTGTCTCAAAAAAGAACAAAACCCAGCAAACCCCACAAAGAGCTGTGGAAACTTGTTAGTAGACTGCTTTAAATGCCAGGAATTGAAGAAATTGAAATTACTAAACATAAAAGAGCTAACGTATCCCAGTTTTTTTGTTTGTTTTTAAGTTTTTGAAACAGGGGCTCCCTGTAGCCCCAGCTGGCCTGGAACTCACTATGTAGATCAGGCTGGCCTTGAACTCACAGAGATCCACGTGCCTCCTGAGTGCTGTGATTAAATGCGCACCACCATGCCTGGCTCAAGAAATGGAGATTTTTGTTGAGGCAGGTTTTCTTTCTTATTGGTTAGAAGAAAGCAATGCGTCACTGTGGATTTTTATTTTCAGTGTGATTATCTGATTTGTCAAACACCATGCATTATCACTTCTAGAGACCCCAGGATATCCTCTAGTCAGTGTGGAGGTAAATGGATGACAGTGGTTAGTGGGGGTCTGGCTGGTATCTGAGACTCACCCTGTAGGTATTTCTAGTTTCTCTGGGATGTGAACAAACCATCTACTCCAGGTAAGGCACCAATGACATAAACAAAGGAGTCCACCCAAGTGTAGCTTGTTGAACAATGTGTTTGATACAGTTACTAGCAGGAGAGTGGATGAGAGGCTACTTAGAGTAGCACGGCAGCCAAGCCACCAAAGAAGTCTTTTGTTCCAGCAACCGTTAACTGACTTTATATCCTCTTGGAAGTATAGGACCTCAGGACTCCTCTTGCCTAGCCCCCCCTTAATTGTTTGTGTATCTTTAGGGAGGGGCAGGGCTTCTTAAGCCCTTTCCCTGCTCCATAACAACATTAATGGGTCCAGTCTGAGGCAATTGTGTTTTATTGGGCTTCATTTCAAGGCTTTTCCTTATGTGTAACAGAAATGGATTAAGCTGTAATAAAATTTGATTAAATGAAATAAAAACTTCATGAGAAAGATTGTGTAAATAGTCATAAAGCAATGCTTGGCACAAGGTAGGCCTCCAGTAATACTTATTGAATATATCAATACACAGACCAATTTATGTATCAGGTATGCTTCAGGAAGTGAGGGTTTCCATTGAATCATGCGTATGCATAGGTTGTAGAGGTACAGGTGCACATGCCACAAGGCATGTATGGAGATCAGATGACCATTTGGGTTCCAGGAATCCAACTCAGGTCTTCAGGTTTGGTGACAAGTGCCTTTACTTACTGAGCCATCTTCACCCAAGAATTTTTAATTATGAAATTTTACTAAGATTGTGAGAAATTATTAAATCCTAGTGCTTTTCTTTGTGAATTGTATTTTAAATTTCTAATTGATGTTAGAAATAAAGTTCATGAATTAAAAGCTTTTTTCCCCCTCCTTTTAGGAGTTAACGGAGCACTTTCATCAAGTTGAATCTCAGTTGAATAAACTAAATCATCTCTTTACCGATTTTCTTGCTGATGTGAAGGCAAAAAGAAAAATTTTGGCAACAAATAAATTGCATCAAATGGAAAGAGAATTATATGTATATTTTTCAAAAGATGGAGACTATCTAAAAGACGTTGTGGAAAATTTAGAAAACCAATCAAAGATTAAGGCTGTTGCTCTTAAGGATTGAAGATTAGTAAAAACCAAGTACTTACTATATCTGCTATATTTGAATTTTTTGTTAATAGGAGAATGTACCTAATAAACACTGCTAATTTTTTTTTTTTTACATTTATTTTGTGTGTGTGTGTGTGTCTGCTTGCGTGCCATACACTTGTGTGTGGAGGTCAAAGGACAAACTTGCAGGAGTCGGTTTTCGCCTACCATGTAGGCATTGGGATTGAACTCAGGTTATTAGGCTTGGCAGCAAATTCCTTCACCAACTGACCTATCTTACCAGCCTCAACTGTACTGTATTTTAAAAATTTAAATCATTGGAACATTTTATTTAAATAGAGTTAAGTATCAAACAAGTTGAATTTCCCTAATCTGAAAATCTAAAATACTCCAAAATGTAAAGCTTTATTTAGAAGCAGCCGAGCTGATCCCAGAAGTGGAAAAGTCTACAACTGATCTCTCATGACAGGTCAGTCATGAAAGAGAGTCACTAAAAATGTATAAAACTACCTTCAGTGGTCTGAAATATGAGTGAATTTCCTGTTTAGATTTGGATTCTAACTCCAAAACATCTCATTACATGTATGCAATTATTAAAAAGTCTGAAACACTTGGTCCCACAGATTTAAGGTAAGGGATATTCAGTTTGTATCAGTTTGATTTTTTTCTTCAGGTAACCAGTTTGGGTTTTTTTTTTTTTTGGACAGGGTCTCACTATGTAACCCTGGCTGACTGGAACTGTATTATCTAGACCAGGTTGGCCTTTAACTCACAGATCCAAGTGCTGGGATTAAAGATGTGTGCCACCATGCCTGGCCTGTTGCCAGTGCTTTTGATGACTTACTTGCTTGGTGGCACTTAGTCTTGATCGTTTTTACTTGAAGGGAAAGCAGTATGTGATGCAAACATTTTTAACATAATTTTTTTTGGGGGGGGGTCTTTTTGAGACAGGGTCTCCCTGTAGCCCTAGCTGCCCTGGAACTCACTATGTAGACCAGGCTGGCCTTGAACTCACAGAGATCTGCCTGCCTCTGCCTCCCAAGTGCTGGGATTAAAGGAGACCGCCACCACGCCCAGCCATAATTATTTTTTAAATAGATGTTTTCTGCTGTTGAGTATTTTAAAAAATCTGTAGAACTTTTGAGTTTTGCTTTCTAAGGTTTTAGTTAACCTGAAGCAACTGTGATCTGAAAATATTAATGGGAAAGTCCAGAAGTAGTCAAGTTCTTAAGTTATATGCTTTTCTGTATCCTGTGGTGAGTCATACCTTTGTTCACGTCTGTGCTTATGTGTTAACCTGTCTACTCGTCACTAACCTGATAGCAGATCCACCAGTTTCCAGACTATGAATTTCATTGAGGTTTGGACTATATCCCCTGTGGGTCAGATGAGCCCACTGTATATGCCGTAGCCACCTCTCATATTTGACTACAGTAAAATTCTTTTGCTCAAAGTGTTTTCCTGTAATTGCCCATTGTAGCCTTTGAGGTGTTAGAATGTATCCACTTTACCATTGAGTGTGAGGGGTCCTGAGCATTTTCATTCTAGGGCTGGGTTCTGGAGGTGTACACCTTTGAGGTAAGTATGACAATGTCTCATTTACGTACAGGTTTTCAAAATTATGTACAAGTAGTTGCTTAAAGTATTTACGATACTTCATTCAGCTTCTAAGGAATGAAATAAGTATCGGACAATTAGAAATTATTTTTTTTTTTAAACTTTGGAGTAGCTTATCAGTCTTTATTTTTAAAATATTGTTATCTGGCCCAGACTGGCCTTGAACTCATGTTCTTGCCTTAGCCACTCTGTGATTACCACACAGGCTTGGCTCTGCTTCATCAGATGCTCCTCAAGAGTTTGGTTGATGTGATAGGGCTTCTGTTGAGTACCTTCGAGAATATTCCTTACTTTTTTGTTATATCCATGACAGTCTTAAAACTACATATTACAGAGCCAGGCGTGGTGGCGCACCCTTTAATCCCAGCACTCAGGAGGCAGAAGCAGGCAGATCTCTGTGAGTTCAAGGCCAGCCTGGTCTACATAGTTCCAGGCCAGCTGGGGCTACAGGGAGACCTTGTCTAAAAATGACCCCCCCCCCGGAAAAACATTTCAGATGATATTTAAGGATGTTTTCAGGTTATAACACTCAGAAAATGGGCGTGCATTTTAAATTTTATGATCCATTAGACAAAACCATTTTGCCAATTACTGTTATGTTGCATAAATACTCATTTTTATTTAACTAATGAAAATCTTTGTTCATGAATCTTTAAAATAACATAATAGTGTTCCATATTTTGAAGCCTTAAAAACTAATATATGGGTATCTTATGTTAATCTTACATTTAGGACTTTATGAAAATGGAAAATTATGAGGCATGTGTAGGTTTTGATCTCTGTGGGATACCCCTCTCCAATGTTGCTCAGAAGATTATGTCTGCTATGCGTTCAGGGGCGTTAGTGGATTCTGAGAACTGGGGAGAGAGTACAAAGAGTAAGTAAGTCTTATGAGCCTTTTTAATTGTATTGAATGTTAACACTAAGACTAAAGCGAAATGAATGTAACAAAATTAGTCCGTAGAACTTTATTTTGTAGGGATGTTTCATGCTTAGAGACAAAGGAAGCCATATCGAGCCTGCCCCTTCCTTTCCCCCATTCATGGTGACTGAACTGCTTACTAAATTCATGGTCCTTTAGCCCTGTTGCTTTAAAAATAGAACCTACTCTGTCTTGCTCCAGCTATTTAAGTGTCTTCCAAAGACATGAGCTTTCATACAGCTTCTTGCTTGGCTCTCAGGTCATTAAATCTGTACACTGTACGTAGTACTTGCTCTGGTATATGGTCATAAGAGAAGTGTTTCTGGCATCATGCTGCCATAGGAAATGTATAAACTCCAGGTGTCAGAACAGAGTGTCTGTCTGTGGGTCTATGACATAATAGTAAAAGCACAAGGGTAGCTGGAATGTGTGTGGCATCTGAGGGTTTTGTAACTAGCAAAGCCATTTATGGTTTATTTTCATATAAAGTAAGTTAGAAATGAGATATTAAGTTATGAAATTGAGGTGAAGTCACTAAGACTTGCCAGATAGGAGCACCTTGGTTAAGGTGTAGTGGCTTGTGGGGCTGGGGAGATACTCAGTGCATAAGAGCTTGCTGTACAGGAATGAGCATCTGGTCTTGAATCCCCACACCCAGATAAGCCAGGCAAGGCAGCGTGTGCCTGCACCCCAACTTTGGGGTGGAAATGGGTAGAGCCAGGGAGCTCCCTGGCCAGCTAGTCTAGTTGAAAAAGTGAGCTTTCAGTTCAGTGAGAGAGCCTGCCTCAAGCAAGGCTGAGAGTGATGGAGGAAGATGACCAGCATTGGGTGACAAGGCACACACACGCACATGTGCCTGCACCACACCTCTACTCAAGACATAGTAGCACTTAACATTTTGACCTGTTCACATTCAGTCATCTGGTGCTCCTGTGCCTCATAGTAGAAATCACTAAGAAACCAGTCACACCTTTCAGATTGTGTATCTAGCAGTTCATAATGTTTTACAAAAGAACCAAGATGTTAAAGAAAGGTAAGATAATTTTTTAAACCTAATTTTTTTTTTTTTTTTTTTTTTTTTTGTCTTTGAGACAGTCTCCCTGTAGCCCCAGCTGTCCTGGAACTCACTGTGTAGACCAGGTTGGCCTTGAACTCACAAAGATCTGCCTGCCTCTGCCTCCCAAGTGCTGGGATTAAAGGTGTGTGCCACCAAGACAAAAAAAAATTATATTCCCAATTTGTTTCCCCCAAAACATTACCAGTTGGCAGGTATACAGTTCACATTCAGAATTTTTAGAACTAATTTTTTAGGTTAGCATACAAAGTAATGAGTCACTAAAGTTTTTTTTTTTCCAGTATTTTTTTTTTTTTTTAAATTCATATGAGTGTACTGCCTGCATGTATGTGAGTGCACCTGTGTTGTGCAATGCCATGGAGGTCAGAAGAGGGCTTTGGATTCCCCTGGAACTGGAGTTAAGGATGGTTCATAGCTGCCATGTGGGTGCTGGGAATCGAACTCGGGTCCTCTGCAAGAGCAGTCATTGCTCTTAACCGTTGAGCCATCTCTCCAGCCCCAAGTATTTTATTATTTTTATTATATATATATGAGTATTGCCTGCATGTGTGTAAGTGCACCTGTGTCATGTAATGCCCTCAAAGGTAGGAGGATGGTGTCTTCCTGGAACTGGAGTTACAGACAGATGCTAACTGCCACGTGGGTGCTGGGAATCAAACACCGGTCCTCTGCCAGAGTAGCCAGTGCAGTTAACCACTAAGCCATCACTCCAGCCCTAAAGTGCTTTGTTTTACAAGCATGAGAACTTGAGTTTGAGCCCCCAGAACCCATGTAAAAAAGTCAGACTTGGCAGTGTGCGCTACTAACTACAGCTCTGGGGAAGTGGAGTCAGGAGGATCCTTGGAGCTTGCTGGCCAGCCATTGTAGCCAAATTGGCAAGCTCCAGGTTCAGTGAGAGACCCTGTTTCAAAAAATAAGGTGGAGAGTGAGGAAGATACTACACATCAACCTCTGGTCTCCCCACTCATGCACATATATGCACCCAGACACATGAACACATGCACACATATACCTAAAAAAGTAATAATAAACTGGACATGGTGGCACATGCCTATAAGTGAAGCACTTAGGAAGCTGGGGTAGGAAGATCACTGCAAGTTCAGGCCATCCTGGATAACATAGTCCCAGGCAAGACTGAGCTACAGGTAAGACTGTCTTAAGGAAATAGAACACTGAAGTTGACAGAGATGGAAATATACTTGCCTTCAAAAACTGATAAGGATAATAATACATGTCTGGTAGCTGTACTGGTAATTGTATGATAGTTCATCTCATATGAACTCTTGTCATGGCCCTGAAGCATTCTTTCAAAATCCTGTCTTTTGTTAAGGTTCTTAGAAAGATAATGGAAACATGGGCTGGAGAGACAGTTCATTGGCTAGAACATGGCTGCTCCTGCAGAGGACCCATGTTAGATTCCCAGCTCCCACATGGCTACTACCAACGGTGGGTAACTCCAATTCCAGGGGATCTGATGCCCTCTTCTGACCTCTGTAGGCATTGCATGCACGTGGTTCACTTACACACATGCAGGCAAAACACTTACATACATAAAATATAAATAAAAAAGAAAAATAATGGAAACAAGGTGTTATTTTTCTGCCAGGTACTCTTAGCTTTGGAAAATGGGCATTTTCACAGGGCTTCTCACATATTGCTAAGGTACTACAAATTTATTGGCTTAAAATAACGTTTGTTGCATAGCCTCTGTAAGGTTACAGGCAGATGGAGGTCTCATCAGAGGTTTGAGAAGAGAAGCAGTCTCTTCTAAGCCTATGTAGTTACTGACAGATGTCAAATCCTCATCTTTCAGAGTGAAAGTTTCTGTCTGGCTGCTTGCTAGTAGGCACCCTCAGGCCCTTTTTATGTGGTCTTCTCCATAACAGCCTACATAGGCAGTTTACTTTTTCAAAGTTAGCAGAAAAGTCTCACAAACAAGAGTGACATTACAGGCTACATGATCACACACCTGGTCACCTCTGCTATGTTGTTAGATGCCAGTCCAGTAAGTCTCACATTCAAGAGGCATGATTACCAAAGTGCAGGGATGGTGGGGCCACCTTAGGATTTTCTACCACACATTCCCATCCATTTTGTTCTTATATGAATCTGAATTAAAGATGGATTGCTGATTGGTGAATGATCTTGGACTGACTCCTGGATTTTTTTCTTTTTTGGTCTTTTTGGAACATGGTCTCCCTATAATCTCATAGCCTGGGACTCACCATGTAGACCAGGCTGGCCTCACTTTCACAGAGATCCACCTGCCTCTGCCTCCCGAGTGCTAGGATTAAAGGCATGTGCTCTCATGTTCGCTAATTCCTGGATTCTTGTCACTGAACTGTTTGGTAATTTTTCTTATAAGAAAAAATATTATAAATCCGTGTTTCATTTCTAGAAATCTATTTCATGCCACAAATATCAAAATTGAAGTAAAAATTAATGGAATAAAATATAAATATTTGTTTTACAAACATTTACTAAATAAGGCCAACTGGTGTTAAATTGTTGTATGCATCACTTTGAGTCTAAATTTCTGATCTGTTGGGCTATCTGCAGTGTCTTGGGACATACATCCAGTAAAGATTGGACTGTTACATCCACTTGAAACAACCATAAATTTTTATTCTAAAAGTTTTCTTTGAGACTGGGTATGGTGGTCTATGCTTTTTAATCCTAGAACTCAGGAGGCAGAGGCAGGTGGATTTCTTGAGTTGGAGGCCAGCCTGAGCTACATAATTGAGACCCTGCCTGTTTCAAAAAGACCAGAAAAGAAAGAAAGAAAAAAAAAGTTTTCCATCAAAAATTTTGTGTCAGGAATTTAGAATACAGCTTAATAAATAAATACAAGAAAATCCAAGTGACTGCTCACATTGCCAGAACCCCAGAATCCCTCAAAACCCTTTCTGTGCTTAAAGCCCAGGTTTCTGTCAGCAAAGCATGAGCTCAAGTGGACTGTGCCATTTCCAAGGCAGGCTGGACGATAGCTGCCCTGCTTACCTGGAACGCCAAACAGTTCCTCTTTAACCTAGTCTAAATGATAACACCATCCTGGCAGTTGTGGAACAACATGCCAGAGGACCCTGGACCTGTGCGTGCTTCATGAAACAGCCCTACCACCAACTAAGGAATAAACTGAGATTTTTTTCTTTAAGCCGTTGCATTGTTGAGGCTTGTATGACTTTAGATCAGGTTTATGCCTTCACTCACACACCTTTATATTCAGAGTTAAGATCATCTGATTTAGATTTTTGAGATTTTATTAATCAGTAATACTATTCTAAGTATTTGCAAGTTACTGGGGGTATGGGTGTTTTTAGGGTTGTCAGCTGGCTAGGTGCTATGTGTAGGATTGTGCCTATGATTAGGCATGTATTTACTGGGTAAGTTGGAGTATAGAGATGACTGTGTATATTGTATTAAAAATATTTTTACAAACATAAATTAATAAAAGTTTGAGACCCCAAGAGGTAGTTGTTAAAATCCAGTTAGTGATGTTTGCCTTTATTCTCAAAATTTAGCGGAAGTATTTAGCAATTACACAGGTGCACTTACACATATGCAGGCAATGCACTCATACACATAAAATAAGAATAATAAATATTTTTAAAAAATCCAAAAAGAGCCAGGCATATAGTGGCACAGGCCTTTCATCCTAGCACTCTGGAAGCAGAGGTGGGCAGATCTCTGTGACACTAGGCCAGCCTGGTCTACATAGTGAGTTCCAGGCTAACTGGGGCTACAGGGGCACCTTGTCTTAAAGAATTGAAACACAGACCATATCACCGTTACTCAGGGTAGTACTTGAATTCTTAGCCAGAGCAATAAGGCAAGAGAGAAGCTGAAGAAAGACATGGTAGGAAAGGGCAGTGTCACAGTA